TGGTCACTTTTTATAAGTAAAAGGACCAAGATGAATATTGTAAAAGTACCTAGATCAAAATGAACTAAAGTTCAAAAATAGTCTAATTTCATCACTAATGTAATTTAAAAAATAAATTACAAATTTAAGGTAGATTACAAACTAAAATTAAAAAAATGTAAATAAAATAATATAAATCCGAAATAGGGTATATTCCAAAACTATTGACAAAATTATGGTAGTTATAGTCAAAGTCAACTCGTGGGTAACGTACACGAGTTACACGTGTCCGCTTGAATCTAATGTGACGGGTGGAGGGTCAGTTGGACTAATAAATCGTGTACGTTGTACGCGATTAAAGAGAACTCGTGTACAACGTATACAATTTACTTGAAAAATGTGTACATGGTACACGATTTGAAGGAATTCGCATATCAGGTAAATCATGTGTACATTGTACATGAGTTCTCTCTGTACACGTTTTCACTCAAATATATATATTTATATATTTTGTCCTTCTAACTTGTTCATGCTAGGTGCAATTTGTCTTTTTTTTTCCGCAAAAATTTTGAAATTTTTTCTTAGTTTTTTGCCGCTTGCTGAATTGTGATCTAAATTCATGTACCACAAGTTGATTAATAAAAGTTCAGTACACTAAATTCATGTACCATATTATAATAAACATTAACTTCAATGATAAACTGATTTCAAATCCATTAATAAAAGTACAGTACACAAGTTCATTTAAAAGTAAACAAACTTAAATATTACAGAATGTCGATAAAAATTCATGTACCACATGATGGTCGTCTTCTCGGGTGATCTCCACAACGAAGTTGAGGCATAGCAATATGTGGTGATGGATGATAAATTTTATCACTCATATATGTTGTTGTGTTACCTCAATAGGTGATAGTTGTGGTAATGAATTCAGTGGTAATGAATTCAGTTGACGAATTGAACTTGATTCAATGACCGAATAAACTACAAGTGTAGAAATCATAATAAAATCTAACTAAAAAAGAGAGAGGAAGAAATAAGATCACCTCTGACGACTGTGGAGGCAGCGGCGACGATGGATGGTAGTGTGACGACAGCTGAGTTGAGAGAGGAGAGAGAGAGGATTCGGATTTTTGGCTTAAAAATGAGAGGTGGGGGAGGGTGGGGTGGAGCCGGAACTCGTGTGCATTGTACATGAGTTTGGTGAAATCGTGTGCATTGTACACAAGTTCGACGAAATCATGTGCATTGCACACGATTTCTTACAACACATGTGGCTCCAACTGTCCGCCATTGGAGCCACATCATACACAATTCGAGTGTATTGCATACAAGTTTACCAAATACGCGTTCGTTGGATGCAAGTTTGCTAAATCGTGTACGAGCTGCCCCACTTTTGAAATTAGTTTGAAAACTACCCTATCTTTATTTTTTATTTTTTAAGTTACATTATTTAAAAAAAATCATTTAAAGTACATTAACCAAAGGAATATTTTAAAAGAACAATAACCAAAATAAACCATACCTCAAAGTAATATTTCAACATAAATTATTTTTCAATAAAATAAAATAAAATAACTCATCGACGAATGAATATTTGTACTATATCAAAAAAAATTGACGAAATATTTAAAAGAATATAAAATTACAAAAAGCACCCAAAACTAACGATCCAATTGTAACAACCCTTGTACTTCATGGGTAGTTTGTGCATTTTTAATATTTAAAGAATTTAATTACCATACTTGGGTATGATTACAAAAACCTCTATAAGTTAAGGATGTTAATATCACTCCGTCAAAAGCAAAAAAAAATGTTAATATCATTAATGTTGACATAATATTAATAATAATAATTTTAAAGATATTTAAAATTGGTATAATGTTTATTTATTAAGTTAAATAATTTAAATAATTCTTTTTTGCCCTTTAATTTTAATGAATTATGGTTGAAATATTCGCCAATATTGACATTTTATTCATACTTCTAAGATATTTTCATAAAATAGAAACATTCACATTTCTATCACCATCAAGATTTAAAACCAATTAAACTACTTGATCTATGTATTTAGTTTCAATTTGAACAAAATAGTTATCAACAACGCATTTCTTTCCAGTTTTTACTCTCAAATGTATTTATAATTTTGGTTAAGTGATAAGTTTGATTTGAATTAATAGATTCGTATCATTTTTTAGTTCAATAACATGGTGGAGTGGAGATTCGAACCTTCAACCTCTTGGACAAAAATACATACCTTAACAAATTGAGTTATGTTTAGGTTAGCCAATTTGTATCTAATAAATCCACAAACTTTAAAATTTGTATAATTCATGTACTATCTTCTCTAAATTTTCAATTTTGTATCTAATAGTCGTTATAAAAAAAATTTGTATATAATAGTCAATGACAATTTATTTAATTAATGGACTTGTTTGACACAAAATTGAAAGTTTATGATTCTATTAGATACAAAATTCAATTTTATGGACAAACACAAAAATGTTTATTTGCTCACAATTTATTTTGTATATATTAACCATTCATAAAAACACATTTAAAAAACAAAACAATTTTTTGAAAAACAATTTTTTTTTTTAGTTTTCAAAATGTTAAGCTTAACATATGAAAACGTTTAAAATAATAGATAAAAAAAAAACAAAGACACACGTAGGAAAGTATTGTCTACGAGCTTAGTTATAGAAAATATATAATAAACAAAATAGTTATCAAATGAGATATTTAACAATTTTCAATCCTAGAAAATAATGTCAATATAAGCGAACATTATATAATATATTTTTTAACATTGACGAACATTGTAAAATGTAATAATTTATAGGAAAAAATATATTTTTGGTCTCTGAGGTTTGGGATAGATGTCAATTTTGTCTCTAAAATTTTAAAATGAACACTTTTAGTCCCTGAATTTACGGTAGATGTTGATTTGGTTCTTAAATTTCAAAATAAACATTTTTTATCCCTAAAATTTGAGAAATTGTTCTAAATGGTTCCTAAGCATTATTTGACTGTTAGTTGTCTTAACAGAAAAACAAACAATTAACAGATGACTGGATATTTATAAATTGCTTTTTTTTAAGGAATTTCTACAAAAATATTAACTTTTACCTAATTTTATTTTGTGAGGTGGCATTTTTTAATTTCTTAGTCTCTTCGTCTTCTTGCTACCATTGCTATCATCACTGTTGTCCACCGTCATTGCCGGCCATCACCATCGCTGGTCGTTGCCTACTGCCATGTCGCAGTTGCT